ATTGTACAGTGGCATTAAATGCCGTAATGTGCACCTCTGCCTATCTCTTCAGGGATAGCACCCACATTTCACTATTTATGTTATGAGTCCCATGTAATATGGGGTAAGCCTATTGGCATATACCGGGCATAATTCCAGACACCGTGCTTCTACTGAGAATTTCTTACAACAAACCCAGTAATACCTACTTTGTTTACCCGAAAATCGTACCCATACCCCATGCCCGGCAGTCACACTTGCGACCACTCGACCAACGAGGCAGTCATTCACGACACAATCGATCTCTAATTTCTTACACTAATGGAAGTACTATTAACTGAGCATTTCGACAGTCGAAAAAAAACACATTTTACTCAACACACTTATCAAAATCTGTAATCTGTGTCATATATTCATTTATTTGTATATGTTGTGTATATATGTATATTGCATAGTATGTGTAAGTAAGTACATAGTATATTATATGTTGTCTCTGTCACAGGCCCTATCTAAACTGCCCAATAATATCCTGGGTCCTGTCACCCCGGCCACTGTGAGTTTTTTTTTAATTACGACAACTTTTTATTTTAATTTTAGTTTCTTTTGATTTTAGTTTTAATTTTTTTAGTTTTTAGTGAGACGGTTTTTGTGCACTTCGTTTTCTTTTTTTTATCTTTAGTGTTGCTTTTTGGCGGGTTTTTATTTTGTATAGATTGAGAACGTCACGCCTTTTTGTAAAGGGGCCTGGCTGTGGTGTAGGTAAGTATATACAGTATATAAAATTTATCTCCTGTTATGTTATTGATCCAATTTAAGAAATCAAGCATTTTGCTTCGTGCCGAAATACTAGGTTCGGAGCTAACTCAGAATTTAATATCGAAATGTTCAGCACTTTGGATTTCTTCAATGAAAATCATGTTGCATTTCAGCTGTCTACCAATAGTGCACTTTGGTTTTATGTAGATATATAAAATAATTCTAGAATATTGTAATAACTAAAATATTTTACGATATCTAGCAAAACTAAGCGCTTATTTTCGGTAAGCATTTTCTCTAAGATTAAGTTATTCTTGAATTAAATAAAAAAAATGTATAATAAAACTGTGGAATGGATTGTCACCTGCGATATTTCTAAGTTCATACAACCAACAAAAAAATACCGTAGGTACTACTTCCTAAAAAAGACATCAGTGCACTTGCATCTAAGTGCCTTGTTTTACGTTTAGGCGATAGATACATTATCAGAATACACTAGAAAGCTGAGTGCAACTTGTTTTTACATTATCGAGACCAAGACGTCTTCTGAGCTCTCTGATTGGTTGGTGACCTTGGAGCTGGCCAATCAAAAGCCTTGTATGGTTTCACACTTAAAGTAATCGAAACGAGACTGCGTTCGGCGCTGATCGGCTGGCTCTAATGAACCAACCAATACGGTATTTGACAACTAATCAAATTCAATATTTTTTTCCAACTGTCAAAAACGACAGCTTTCTATGAATTTTGTACGAGATTGTGTATTGTGACGTCACGTTTTTTAGAGTCAAACAGCGTACTTATTTCTTAAATTTGCTGGATAAATACTAAAATTAAGTTGGTCATTAAATCAATTAATGAAAGTGTGTTTGTTTTTTAATATTTTATTGTATTGAACAGTCGAAATAATTTAATTTTGATTAAGGAAAGTTCTCAATTGCAAGTTGTACTCAAGACTCTGGTGTTGCCATCAGCGCGTTTGCGTCTGTAAAAAATAACATACAAATACTATGATTTTATATATTATTTGCATTTACTTTTCAGTTTTATTACAACGATTGGCCGTTATAAATCCAAAATTCCAAATTCCTTGTGTTTTTCATTGTTTTTTTAGAGGTTTTTAGCGATTTCTTTGGTTTGAAACATCAGCGAGTTTGGTTGTTGTTGGTATACATATTTTGTTGTTCATTTGCGCTATGAATATATTGTTATACAGACTAGAAAGTAATTTTATTGTAATAGGGATAATGAAAACGAATGACAAAAAAGAATTCTATTCAGCTACTCTAGCCAAATGCCATTTAGCGCTTGTATACATGTAGAATAGAAAACCAAATTATATGGAATTGACGTAAAATTTGACACTTGTCAGTGTCATCCCCATACATTTTGATTTCTACTCTCTCTGTAGACTAGCGCTAAAGTGGCATTTGGATAAAGGCCCAGGACATTGGCTAGATTACAAAGTAATATCATTTTTAATGAAATAAAAAACAATCATATTAAATTATATAATAACGTTTAATTTTATTTCATCATCCCTATTTCAATTTGAGGGAAAAATGTCAATTACATTGCTGTGTTTTTTATTAATGGAAAATATTTTTCTGTGTAAATGCGTTTGTGTAGTTCTTAACGTTTTCAGTGCGTGATTTTTTGTGAGCATCTGATACTTTAGCACCGTCTGATTATTTGATCATTTTTGTTTAATATTTTTGATCAAATATAGGTACCTAGATAGCATTAAAATATTTTCCACTAATACATT